AACTAAAAATTGACTACTGTACTTAGTCCATTTCTAGCTTCTGATTTCTGATTTATTACTATTAACTTATTGTAGAATGGCCATAAGACACAAGCTTTTATATAAGTCCGGATCTACAATAGATTTTTAAGCTTTACCCCGGATCTACAATAGGTGTTTTAAGCCTTAAGCCATAAGAAATTGACCAATTACAGTCGAATCCGAGAAGAATAATCGATTGTGATTCGTCCATTTCTTATGGCTTAAGGCTTAAAAATCTATTGTAGATCTGGACTTATGTAAAAACTTGTGTCTTATGGTCATTCTATAATAAGCCATTAGTAATAAATCAGAAATCATAAGCTAGAAATGGACCAAGTACAGTCGTCAATTTTTAGTTTCTGATTCTGACTTCTAATTTATGATTTATGGCTTAGTGTAGAAGGCCTATTATCCCGGATACAATAGGGTTTTAAGCCTTAAGCCATAAGAAATGGGCGAATCACAGTCGCTTATTCTTCTCGGATTCGATTGTAATTGGTCAATTTCTTACGGCTTAAGACTTAAAACACCTATTGTACATCCGGACTTAGAGTAGGGAGCCTATACACACTGATTGGCTTGGGACACATGGATTCGAAAAAGTAGAGTGAAAATAAAAGGTTTGTTTACGTCGCATACTCCAACATGTTCCTATCATAGGTCGCGTTCAGCAGACTCAACTGTTGTGGAGCAGATCCATGAACACTCGCTGCTATTGGTGTATTCTTATAGATCATCCAATAGCAGCGAGCGCTCACAGATCCGCTCCACCACAATTGAGTCTGCTGAACGCGACCATAGTTTCTATTCACTCTAATGAGTGCATTGGAGTGAGTAGAAACTATGATAGGAGCATATTGGAGTATGTTGGAACATGTGACGCGGTCCGAGTTCTAGCATCATTAGGCTTAAGAGCTGCAGCTTGTGTCACTGTCACTGGCCTAATTTCAACCGAGGATTTAAACCGGATCAGAATATAAGAAATAACCAACTACAGTCGAGCATTCTCCCGTCGTTCGACTGTAATAGGGGTATACTCGACTGTAGTTGGTTGGTTCTTACATTCTGATCTGGTTTAAATCCTCGGTGGAAACTAGGCCACTGTAAAGCCCAAGACACAATGCGAGGAAATAGCGATAGCAATAGGAATAACACGATTTCAACCTATCAGAAATCGGATATATTGGAATACACAGTTTCTGATAGGTTGAAATCGTGTTATTTTTATCGCTATCGCTATTCCCTCGCATTGTGTCTTGGGCTTAACATTTTCTGAGCGCCATCGGATCATGTGTTGAGTTGGCGACTCTCTTATTATAGGCTCTCTAGGTTATAGTACCGACGAGATACTATTAAAGACCGACAACCCTGGGTAAATTTACGGCGGTATAAAAAGGGCCCGGAGGTAATTGTAGAGCGTTGTTATTATCGACAAATGATATAAATTTGCAATTATTAACATAAATATTTGGCTCATACATTATCAAATTCATGATTTTTTATTACATAAATGTTCCATAAATACATATGCATACCTGTAAAGCTATAATATCCTTTTTATTGCAGAAAAATTATAATTTTTTCTTTGCAGTTATTATCTTTGTTGATAATCAAACTTTGACGATAACACTGAAATTACAGTTTTAAAGAAAAATCGAAAATTATTGAGTTATAAATGCGTCTACTAAACCAGCAAATCATAAAATTAATACAATATTATATGTTTTTAACTCGTAATCACTTCAATCTTTATCACTTCAATATACGGACGCCAACACTCGTAAGGTTGTTGGTCTTTAATAGTATCTCGTCGGTGGTTATAGTAACGGTAACTATGCATGGTCTACAATGGACAGTAGCAGTAACAGATTAATGCTGGATTCACATTGCATTCGATGTGCATTGTACGACGCTCTGCAATCAATCAGAAAACAGGATTCCGATAGATTTTGCTTCGAATCATCGGAATCCTGTTTTCTGATTGGTTGTAGAGCGTCGACACAAATCGAATGCAATGTGAATCCAGCATAAGGAGTAGGTGCATAAAAATCGACCAATCATAGTAGATTATCCTTCTCACATTTGACTATAGCCCATTCTACAATGGACAGTAGCAGTAGTGGATTAAGGAGTAGGCGTAGAAATCAACAAATCATAGTTAAATATGAGGATAATTAACTATCATTGGTCGATTTCTACGCCTACTCCTTAATTCACTACTGCTACTGTGGCTGGATTAGGGGAGACGCTATTAGCGCTATTTCTGTCATTCTATCTTCATCGTCCATTAGACGTGAGACAAGGATAGTACTACACAAATGGCGCTGATAGCACTCTATCCAAACGCAGCCTGTCCATTGTAGAATGGGCTTATGATTGGTTGATTTCAAAGCCTACTCTTTAATCCACTACTGCTACTGCCCATTGTAGACCATGCAATACAATTTAGCTACTGCATCTTAAAAATCAATAAAATTAGGCTTATTCGACGCATTTTTGCATAAAATGAAAAAATCTGGCAGACGAAAGTGTTGCTCTGCTCCAAGAACCGAAATATTAAGAGTTTAGGCTGCGGTCCGATTCACGCCCATAGCGCTCACGGTTCTCACGACATTAATGATCGGTCCGATTTGTTAGCATGTTAACGATGATTTTATTTCGGACCGTCTGTGGATACAATCACGAGACCCATAACCTGTGTATTATACTTGTGAATAATGGCTATTCAACGTAAAGCTGCATTATTACAATTGATGGAAATTGTACTCGAGGATTCAGAAAATGACGAACAATCAATTCTTATAAATCAATCATCTTCAAGTGATGATGAAAACGAAGAGGAAGCTTTGAATTTATATGTAGCTTTGACTTTAAGCAAAAAGAGAAAGAAAATAGACAAAAGACCGCGTGTTGAAGGCTTTGTAGAAAGAATTATTCCAGGATATACGGCAAAAGAATTTAAAACACATTTTCGGTATGTTGTATTTATTTATATTGCTGTTATTATTCTAATAATAATATAACTCTTCTGTTGATTTTTGGAATTGGAATAGATTACTGCCTACAACCTTCGACTTTATTTTGAGGTTGATAGGTTCAAATTTAAATTCTACCAAATCAGTCGCAGGTAGGAAGCCTATACCAGCACAAAATTAATTGCTAATGGCTCTATGGATGATAGCTACACTCGACTCGTACAGGTTTATTATAATGTATATACAGATATATATACATCTAGTATTTTTTGTAATTGTAAATGAAAACATTGAAACAAAT